AACACAATGGTGTTATGCATTTTCTTCCATAAAGAGCCTCATAGGGTGCCATTATAATGCTAGCTTGAAAACTGTTGTTGTAAGCAAATTCAATCAACGGTATGTGAGTCTCTCAAATTCCTCCAAAATCTAAAACACGTAATCTCAATAAATCCTCCAAAGTCTGAATTGTCCTTCTGATTGCTCATCTGTCTGAGGATGAAATACTATACTGAAAATCAGTTGGGTGCCCATAGCTTCCTGAATTTTATTCCACAATTTAGAAGTAAAACGGGCATCTCTATCAGAAACAATTGATTTTGGAATTCCATGCAATATCATAATTTCATCCACATAAAATTTTGCCAACTTTTCCGTTGAATCTGTCTGCCTGATTGGTAAGAAATGAGCTGACTTGGTTAATCTGTCTATAATAACCCATATTGCATATCGACTCTGTCTTGACCTAGGTAATCCAATCACAAAATCCATTACATTGTCTTTCCATTTTCACTCAGGTATAGGTAAAGATTGTAGTTGACCAATTGGTTTTTGATGTTCTGCTTTAATCATCTGACAGGGAATACATTTTGCTACAAATTCTGCAACATTTCTTTTTAGTCCTGGCCACCAAAATAACACTCTCAATTCATGATACATCTTTGTACTGCCTGGATGAATTTCATATGTTGAGAAGTGAGCTTCCTGCAATATCTCTTATCTTAAACTTTCAACATTTGGAATACAGATTCTGCCTCTATACTTTAATAATCCTTCTCGATCCATAACAAAATTCTCTAACTGCCCTGCTTGCACTTTCTTTATTATGCTTTGAAAATTCTCATCTTAAGATAATGAATTGAGCACTCTATCTTTCAAAGTAGATTAGATCACCAGTTGATTCAACATCATATCTTTTGTTTTTTTCTGATTGAAAATATATTTGAGACTTTTATGATATGTAAACAATTCGCATTTGACACCATATAGGTAATGCCTCCATATTTTGAGTGCGAAAACTACATTTGCAAATTCTAAATCATGAGTGGGGTAGTCTTCATGAATTTTCAGTTGTCTTGAAGCATATGCCACCACTCTATCATGCTGTATCAATACACATTCAAGTCCCCTTAAGGAAGCATCACAGAAAATTTGGAACCCTTTTGAACCTGATGGAATTGTCAAAATTGGGGCAGTCACTAGACTATTATTTAACTTATGGAAAGTTTTTTCACACGGATCACTCCATTTAAATTTCACTGCTTTCTGAGTTAATCTGGATAGCAATATTGCAATCTGAGAAAATTCCTCTACGAACCTCCTGTAATAACTAGCAAGACCCAGAAAACCTCTCACCTCTGTAATTGTCGTTGGCCGTGGCCAATCTGAAATGACTTGAATTTTATTCTGATCAACTGAAATACCTTCACCATTGATCATATGTCCAAGGAAAGTTATACTGTTCAACAAAAATTCACACTTTGAAAATTTAACATATAACTGGTTCTCCTTAAGTATTTGCAACACTGCCTGCAGATGACTGGAATGACTTTCTTCATCTCTTGAATAAATCAGGATATCATCAATGAACACAATTACAAATATGTCCAGGAATGGCTTAAAAATTATATTAATTAAATCAATAGATACAGCTGGTGCATTCGTCACTCTAAATGACATTACCACAAACTCATAGTGACCATATCTAGTTCTGGAAGCTGTCTTTGCTATGTATTCCTCTTTAATCTGTAGTTGATGGTATCCAAATCTCAAATCTACCTTAGAGAAAACTATAGCTCCTTCCAGTTGGTCAAAAAAATTATCTATTCTGGGTAAATGATATTTATTCTTAACAGTAAGCTTATTCAGTTCTCTGTAATCTATGCACATTCTGAAGCATCAATCTTTCTTCTTTACAAACAGTACTGGAGCTCCCCATGATGAGGAACTTGGCCTGATAAATCTCTTATTTAGTAATTCCGGTAACTGACTTTTCAGCTCTTGTAACTCTTTGACTGTCATCCTGTAAGGTGCCATTGCCACTGGTTTTGAACCCGGTATCAACTCAATAGTGAAATTTATTTCTCTTTCTAGTGGTAATTCTGACAAATCATCCAAAAAAGGTATTCTTTGATTACAAGTATATCTTTCAACTCTTTAACTTTCTTATTTGTATTCTTTACTTGAGCAAGAAAACACAGACATTCCTTGGATACAAATTTATATGCTTTCATATAAGTGATTATCATTGAAGCAATTCCTCTCTCTCCATAAAATTTCAATTCTCCTTCTCCTGGAAAATTAAATTTAACAATTTTTCTATTACAGTCAATAATCACAAAATGTTTTGATAACCAATCTATTCCCAAAATTATGTCAAATTCTTGTAATGGTAAAACATTCACTGTTGCTTCAATTTCTCTTTCCTTTATTTTGAAAGTCACTTGACATACACCATTTACATTCACAACAGACCCATTTGGCATCAAAACTTTCAAAATTTCATTTATTCCATAAACATTCAATCTCATTGATTTAACAAATGTCTCTGAAATGAAGGAGTTTAAAGCTGCTGTATCAAAAAGGATTTGTAAAGGCTTTTTTTTGAATCGTTACCAAACCTATAAAAGTTACACAAAAAACATAAACATACACTATTTCTTTAATAATATTTTCATAATATATATTTATTCATTTTTCATTTTTATCACATGTAATCACTTCAGGTGAATCCTTAGCATCCATCTGAGTTAGTGCATATACTCTAGGCAGAGTATTCTGTCGGCTTTGACTTGGTCCTGGAGTAGAAGCAACTAATTATACTGTTCTTGGTCTTCCAACATTCCTCTGAGATCCAATATTTATCTTTGACTCTCCTGCTAGTCTTTGCCCCAAAGTAGAATAGTTTTTGGCTATATGACCCGGTTGATGACATCAGAAGTAAGTATTTGTATCAGATAAACATTCTCCTTTATGCTGTCTTCCACACTTACTACAACTGTTCACACTTGAACTATCACTGTTGCTGGACTTTGTCTTCTTCCAATTAAATTTTTCACCTTGTGAAGAGAGATTTGCTATGTGAATCCTAAGGAGCTCCCATAACTTCATCACTTTTCCTCTTCTGAAAATCGCGTCTCCTTTGAGTATTTTGCAGGTCCACTTATATCCTCCTAGCCCTTTCCACCAATACTGAATAATCTTCAATCCCAAATGGAACAAGAGGCTATCTAATTGTACCAGATATAAATATCATCTTTCATTTTCATAAACTTTCAAACCTTTATAGCGGATGAATTTGTTCATACATAAAATGTTTTCCTTCAATATTTTGTGATACATAATTAATCAATTACTTAGAAGATTGCAAACATGAATAAAATCATAAAATAAGATAATTTACCCACTTTGATATTTCAGTTTGTCCATCCTTGTCTCAACCTCAGTCTTAAAATTTTATTCTTGCTGAATTCTTGGAAGAATCGAACTTGTACCACTTGATTTCTTTCTTTCCAAAATTTTATGAGGGAATATTTTAAATCTCAATTTCTTCCTCTTTCATTTTCAAAATCTCTTCTCCTTGCTTCCTTCGCTTTCTCCCCGTTTTTGAAATTATCCTTTGCTTTAAATGAAGTAAAATGATACAAATTTATGGATAAAATTGAAAAGAAAACTCAACAAACCTTCTTCCTTCATTCCTTCGGTCGTTCCTCCCTTTCGTTGAAATTTCTTCCAAATCTGTAACTTCTTAACAATAGGAAAAGAGAGGAGTCGCTAAATCTTATCCCCAAACGAGTTGGATGGCTAAAAATGTTGAATCGAAACTCCAAAAATCCTCCTCGCAGGCATTCGGTCGTCCGCCCTCCTCGCCCTCTATTTTGCGAAAACCGACCCCCCTTTACAGGGTTGCGTCCCATAATTATAACTGGCCGGTTCCGAACCGGCCAGATCCGGTTCTCACATAATTGTATGCTAATTTCTCATCATTGATGATCCGTGATGCAACATTAATTGCATAATGCATGTTTTGACAATGGTTATTGTGTTATATCTACAAAATATTGAATTTCGTTTTACATGTGTTTTGTCAACTTATTGCGTTATGTAATTGATATTCTTAAAATTTGCTAAATTCAGCATTGATAATTTTACCAAAACTGCTGGAACTACAAGTTTATGGTTAAATCTTGGACGCCATGAAGCTCAACGGAAAAATGGAAGTAAAAGAGTTGCAAGGCGATCAACTACAACTTAGCTGCAATAGCCAATTGAATAGTAACCTAATTTTGTGTTAAGTTAATGGTCCATTGTGAAAAATATTTGATCAAAGAGGCTTTCAACTAAAATATGAAAATTGTTCCAAGGATGTAAATAGATCAAATGTTGCAGTACTTCATTTGTTTCATGAATCAGTCGCATTTATGAAGCTTCATGACTTTTCCATTAGCTTGTTGAAACAATTAAGAAAAACATTACCATAGTACTTTGAGAAAGAACCACATAACAAATGAGCAAATATATATGCTGATGCTCAGCATCATAAAACACCTTTTGGTGATTGAAAAACATCGTTGATGTATAAATGAATTATAGAAATACAAAGGACTTTTGTGCGCTAAGAAAGCTAGCTCCAAGCAAGATTTTAAACTGTAATCTAACTAAAGTAAAATGTTTTGTATTGAGGGCCCTGAATTTTTTGTGCTTTTCATGTACCATGTATGTATGTATGGTTGATTCCATCTATATTTATGAGCAGATTTGTTTTATTTTTTCTCAGGACATAATCCTTTAGTATTGCTCCTTAACATCATTATAGTGACATTGATCTGGAGTGTTCTTGGATATTTTCTTTTTACCCTCCCATTGTGGTTATCATTTCTACCTACAAAGTGTTAAAGTTCATGTTGGGTATGGCTTACTTGAGTAGGATGTTTCCTAATTTTTTTACACTATAAAACTTAGGCTGCTCTCTGATGCCTTGTAATTTCTTAATTCTTATCAAGCTCTACTCTTGTTTGTAGCACAAGTGTGACCTCATCAATATGAGTTATGGAGAACCAACCCTACTTCCGGATTATGGGAGATTCGTTGATCTTGTTAATGAAGTATTTGCTAAAGAACTTTTAATTTTATTTTTACTAGTTTTACATGTTTTGAAGTGTTACTTATGCAGTAAATTGTAATTATAGGTTGTGGGCAAGCATCGTCTGATATTTATTAGTAGTGCTGGAAATAATGGACCTGCTTTAAGTACTGTTGGTGCACCTGGTGGCACTAGTTCAAGCATAATAGGAATTGGTGCGTACGTTTCCCCTGCAATGGCTGCTGGAGCTCATTGTGTAGTTGAACCTCCTCCAGAGGGAATGGAATATACTTGGTAGGTGCTCTTTCTACCATACTTAGGTTTTAGAATATGCCATTAAAATATGATTCCTTTTGTCAAAATTCAAATTATGATGAAATAATGTTTCACAGTAATACTTCACATGCATAAACTTTCTTTAAGGATTAATGCTAAAACTACTAAAATTTGTATAAAGCTAAATATGTACTTCAAATCGTCTTTTTATTAAAACTTGATGGTCTTTCTTCTAGTCTGTACACACAATTTTAAATTAACTTTGGACTTTGCCCTGGAGTTAGTGCCTTATCGGGTTGCTACCATGTGATTATGATCGACTCCACACCTACTAACATGATTAATAAACTAGATGCACCTAGGTTTTATGCTCCTAATGATTTTCCTACTGCTGGGGATATGAGAATTTAGCCTCTCTTTCTGTTGCTTTTGATGTTAGAATCTTTAGCACAAAAGAGCTTATGGATAAAAAATTTTCAAATTCTATATGCGAGGAGTGGAGGACTAAGCAAGAATGTTTATTGCTATTCTCCAAAATACACAAGTGTTAAAGTTAGACATTTTTAGTGAGTTCTCTTGGAGCTCCTCTGTTCTGAATGTTAGATCAAGAACCATTTAACGGCCTTATTGTTGTATTTTATTTTTGGTACTTCTCTTTGCCTTCTAACGGATTGCTATGACTTCATGATTACTTTTTTCTTCGTCTGTTTATTATACTTGTTTCTTTCTTTAAAAACCTAATTATGAAGAACTTAATTATTATATGGCAATTTTCATATCCTTTATGTACCATGTGTCTTTTGAATTTATTTCTAGTTGTTGCAGTCCTCAATATAATTGATTAGCTTTTCTGTATAATTATCAATCTCTTAATTTTATGCTTGCGCATCTAGATCAAAATAATTATGTTATCAATTCAGTCATTAAGATGGCTAACAGAACTTCTATGTCTATTCTATTTTTAGTTCATACTTTTTTTATCGGAATATGCATAAAAAATGCTTTGATAGGGTTATACATCTTAAAAATAATGAACGATAGACATGTTATTTTAAAAATTTTTTAATTTAGATTTTAATAACTAATCTTTTTAAAAGAGCATAATCAATAGAGCCATGAAATATGTTATAGGATCAAAAAGGTTAATTTGCATTAGCTCTAAAGAATGTTGATATTGGTATAATTTTAATACCATATAATGATATAAATCTTAAAGGTTTTATGCTAGGTTGTGAAAATCGGAATGTACATTGAACCGAAAGGATAGGTTCAAAATTCAATGATATGATTGGGGTTGAATTATATGACAAAATAAATATTAAAATTATTTAAATAAAAATAGATGATATAACAATGATGTAATAATTATTATATAACAATGTAAATTTACTATTAAATAAATAAATTTAGTTCACATACTAATTAATAAATTTAATATAAATTTTTTGACAACTGAATAGTTTGAGCAGCCCACCTCACACATGTCCGACCAAACGACGCAACCATTCCTCCTCATGGCTCAAAATGACCCCATCCCACTCTCTCCTCATCAGAACTCAACTATACAACATGCAAGAACCGTCGCAGAGCAATTCAACACTCATGTATGGAACTCCCTCTTCTTCTCATTTCTGTGTGCTTCTCGCAGACACACCTGAGATCTCTTGCATTTGACTTTCTCAGGAACTATATGTAGAAGCCGCACACATGGAAAGTCCACTCAACTCCTTTTGTTTCATCCGATCGAGCCTCAGCCCACCCACCGACTCGATTTCTGCTCGCTCGTGTCCTGCTTTTGTACCAGATCCTTGCGCACGACTTGCGCTCTAGACCTCTCCAATCGGCCTGATTTGCCTGCTCCTACATAGAGCCACCCCTACGCCCGCACGATTGCTGCCCAACCTAGTCACGACCCCCTTCCGCTTGTTCACTGGGCATATTTCGCATGATTGTGGTCTGATTCGTGCCTCCTACCCGCTTGCACAACCCGTGACTAGACCCGCTCGTCCTCTTCTCATAATCTGACCAGAGCCCTTCGACCAACTCCATGCACATAAGTCCCACTCCGCTGTACGACTTGAGCGATCGAGCCCGAAACTAGACCCAATCAAACTGACCAGACTCATGCCGACCTGAACCTATTGTCTCGTCCCGCCCTACTTTCGATTGACGTGAGTATATAAGTGTGCAAGAGTTCTTGTAAAATAATGAAAAAAATCAGGTTTTATGACAGAGATCTCCGAAGACTTGTACTGGGACTAATCAGTGTTCCGAAGCCCTTGGCTGTTGAATCCTATCTGGCCGTGCGGATTGAAAGGGCAAATGCACTCCCAACCTCCCTTCGCAGTAGGAGACGTTTGGAGGAAAGTGGATTTTCGGAAAATAATGTAGCACTTTCAATAAATAAATAATAAACATGTGCCAAACATGTGCCTTCACTTGTAGATTTGAAGACCTATATTGGGACTAATCAGCGTCTCGAAGACCTTGGTCACCAAATCCTATCATACCGGGTGGATTGAAAGGCAAATGCTTCCCAACCTCCCTTCGCGAGGAGGGGACATCGGGATGTTGTCAAATTTTCAACGAAAAAGAAAAAAGTATAAAACCAATCCCCATCTGAGAGGGTCCTAGAAATAAACTTACATGTTAGGGAGATGTCACCTTCTCAAAACAGTAGGAAGAGGATGGCAGAGGTCTCCCCAAAAGCTTTAGGCTCTCAACCTTCTGCATTTAATAGGTTGACCTTCCCTAAGGTTTAAAAGTCCAATGAAAGACAAACAACCTTAGCTCTAGTGTCACTTGAGCAGGTGACAGTTGAGAGATAGTATGAGACAATTCAGTCTTTAGCCGTTGTCCCAAGCCACTCAGAGCCCAAGAAACTATTTCAGTTTAGTCAATATGAATAAGGGATTAGTTCTACCTATGTTATGACAAAGTCTCAAAGAAGAAATAAAAACAAAAGACTTAGAAAGAGGTTGAAAAAGGAGGAGCAAGCTGAGTTAGTGGCTGAGATGTTGGAACACTCTCCTCTTGTTGAGGTTAGTAAATCTTACTCTCTTTCTGTGTTTAGGAGCGAAGAAGATGTTGAAAAAATAATTGCATCGCCTCCAAGACCTTTAACTAAAGTTCCCAAAAGCACACCCGAGGAAAGGACAAAGAAGTAGGAGAATGACATCAGAAACAAAAAATCCCATAGAAGACAAACTTTCTAGGCCTCTCGATGAGCTACACTCTGTGGGTCGCATTCAAACTCCACCTTTGGATGAGGTAAATGTGGGACACTAAAAATCCCATACCTTTTCATCTGGGGTGAAGAAAGAATGGAGACCTAAGGTGGTAGCTCCATCTGTGGTACACTCTTCTTCTCCTACCCATGTTGATTGCAAAGACAAAGGAAAAGCACCCATGGAAATTAACAGCTTCAAAGAATACCATCCTTCTCCTGTTAATCCCTCAACAGGTAAAATTGTTGATGAAATGATTAAATACTTGAAGGATAGCCTCAAGAAAATTGATGCGGACGAAAGGAGGGAAAATGAGGAAGAAAACTATATGAAGTTGATTGAGAATTTCAATCATGATGAGGATGATCTCATGGATGAGGAGGATATCTTTGTTATCCACTATGACATGGGAGGATCCTCTCTTTCAGAAGACTCTCATGCAAATGAGTTGTTGGAAGTGGAGAAAGGGAGTGAAAATCCTTAGATTTGTGCTCTACAACAACAACTTAAAGCAAAAGATGGCCAAGAGGTTACATTATATATATATATATATTAAAATTTTGTCTAAGTTTTAAAAATCCTGCTTAAGTTTTAAAAATCCCGCCTAATTTTTAAAATTTTTAAAAATTCCTGCATAAATTTAAAAATTCCCGCCTATGGCTAACGAGCCGGCTCGATCTCTTTTACAGTGAGATGAGCTCGAGTTCGAGCTCGGTTTCCATGTAACGAGCCGAGCTCGATAAGGGCCTAAACTCGACTTGACTCGACTCATTTACACCCCTAGTCCTAAGCATAATAGATAAGCCTTTTAATAGTACAAAGAAAGTAGTGTCAACATGATGAAGGGCATATATGAAAATTTGAGTTAGATAAGGATTTTGCATGCTTATTGAGTAAGAGCTAATTAATTAAAGCTTTATGATGATTCAAACAATGAAATAAAATCAAAGAGCGGTAAACACAAGCTTAAGCCAAGTTACTTGCGAAAAGTAAAAACCACATAATAATCAATTACTCTTGACGTTCAATATGAGGCTGGTTTCAACAAGAAATTCCTAATCTAACAATAAAAGTAGTGCTATGAAAGATTTCTCAAACAATTTCTACTAAATACTAAGCTTTTAGCAGAACTTGACAAGATTTTGTATGAATCAAATAAAACCACAAGTGAGGATCAACGAAGGAGGTAAGAGAGAAGGAAAGAGTTCACCATTTGCTAAGATTCAACCTTCTCGCAAGCTTGGACAACACTTGGTGGTGTTTTGACTGCTCGGACAGTAACAAATCCACGCTCAAACCTTTGGACAGCAAGTAGCCAACCTGGGACAGTGATTCCGAACAGTTCCGGGCAGCAACGGTCGCTCCTAGAGGGTCTGGACAGCAGCGAACTGCTGCTGGAGTCTCTGGACAGCAGATAGGTGGTCTTGAGAAGATCCTGGATAGCAGTTTGGCACTTGGAAAAAACCTGGACAGCAACCTATAAGGTCTAGAAAAGCCGTGGAAAGCTACTGTGAAAGCCGGGGACTTCTAGAAAGTAAGTTGGGAGAGCCACGGGTGTAGAATAGGTGGTCTTCTTTGCTGAAATTCCCTGAGTATGGGAGGGGAAGAAGGGCGACAGATGTTGGGGGAGCTGAGGTTAATTCCAGCTTGGATGGGGAACATAATTGGGCTTTGAGTGATTGGATTGTGGAGCATTAATGGGTTGATTGAAAGCTTAATTGAGGCATTAATTAGATAGGAAAGAGAGAGAGGGGGGGGATGGGGTGGTGTTCGGCCAAGTAAGAGAAGGGG